ATTTTATACACCAATAATGTGGAAGAAGGGACCTGCAGAAAGGGAGCAACATTTGCTGATAGGTATGGGGGCAAGCAAATACCTAGTTTTATGTCGTGGAGGAGGAGAGTAAGAGTCAGAGTGACTTTAACAACACAAGTACTTTATGAATTTCAGTCTAAGGAAATACAAGTAATCCATGCAGAAGAAAATGGGCACATTCCTATTTGCTCTACATTACAAGAAACCAAGCAGGTGAAACAATTTAGTACAGCAAAATAGTTAGGAAAAAGGCAAACAAAATTATATAATACTGTAGTAATATTAGATTCACAGAGAGCAGGGTGATTAATCTGCTGATGGTGAATCAGATGCTGCTCTTCTGGCTACTGATTGAAAAGTGATAGGGCAGCCAGGAGGGGAGGTTTCATAGCAGTTGAGAGGATACGTTAAGACCTGGGAGAACAGCAATGACGACACTTGGTGGTGGTGACTGCTCATGGTGACTGAGTTGGGGTTTACAAAGTTACCTGTGAGTGATTGGGTGCATTTTACTTTAAGAATAACAAGACTCATATGCACAGTGTAGACAAGAACACATAAATAGTGTAAATAAATAAATATCACCATTCCTGACTCTGTGACATAAGTTTCTCTCCAACAACGGTAACTACCTGCTGAAAAGCCATGAAATTGCTGATCACTCAGATGAGGACAACAATACATATGGAGAGATACTTTGCAAGAAGAATTTTCCCATTATAGAAGCTACATTCTGAATATTATGCATAATTTTGGTCACTCTACAAATGCTGTTATAAAAATGAAACTCATACGGAGTATCATCAAACAGCTGCTCACAACTGGTTAAGTCAGAACACAGTTTAAGAGCACTCTTAGATTCCTCACTTAAGCTCTCATACAAGAGCAACTGCAAGCAATGCTTTCTACCACATATGGCTGGCTAGGGCACTGCTTCCCATCCTGGCGGACAATGACCTGGCCTCAGTAATATACATAAAAAGAAGAACAGGAGTACTTGTGGCACCTTAGAGACTAACAAATTTATTAAAGCATAAGCTTTCGTGGACTACAGCTGTAGTCCACGAAAGCTTATGCT